AGTGGATACAGTTCACCTTTACAATGTTTAAAGGTTTTGGAATGATTAAATAAACCGTAAAGAAAAGAGCTCACTGTCGTGGTGGATTTTTATTTTTTTAATCACAGAAAACTGATCAGTTTCAAATAAAGATTTTTTCTTGCATTATTATAGTGGCAATAAAATAGAAGTTACAATGATAGAAACAACTTTACTAAATTAAATACAAGAGTTCTACAGAAACTATGCAGATTCCTATGATGCAGTGTGATTGTGACATGCTTAGAAATACAGTGGCCACATGGGGGTGATAGACAGCCATTTATTTTAGTTTAATACCTGCAAAATGGCCTAAACTAATTTCTAAACATTCAAAGTCACTTAATCACAGTTTTAAACCAGTCATTAGGAAACATTAAACACAAACTAGAATATTTTTTAAAAGCTACAGAATGTTTTTTATAGTCGTGATTAGTCTGTTTTAGGGTAGTGTATTTATTGATGTTTTCCATGAACAGCAAGTGAATTGTAACAGAACATTTCTACATATGGCATTCAATTATTACACTCATTCTAGTTAAAGCAGACTGTTCAAATCTAAATCGCTGTTTTTTTTGTCTTCAAAAATACACTAAATACTTTTAATGTAATACATTTATAATGTCTTTTCCAGCTACAGTTACATAAATGGTCTCCAAATATTCCAGTCAAGATGGTAAAAGTCCCTTGATGTTTAACATTCAGTTTTACAGGCCAAGCTTATCTTCACTGGCAACCCTGAGATGCTGAGATGACCTGCTCTCTGCACAACTTTATTTCAGCGTTGGTAAAAACCTAACAATAATTAGATTGCTTAATTTTTTAATATATATATATATAGTGAAGCTCAGAAATTTAGTGAGGAAAAATAAGTGCAGCAAGAACCTTGGGAATAAACATGTCTGTATGCTTGATGTTCAAAATGTAGTAAATGTACACCTTTCCCTCATGTAAACCTGGCTTCAACCAGAGAAACATTCATAAGACTATAGTCAATACAGCAATGACAAGGTTGATCATTTTACAGCAGTTATTATTCACCATATCTTCTGATGGCCCAGAAGTGACAAGCGTTATCAGTTTTTCAATACACATCTCTTGATTTCACAAAGCTTATATTACGTAAAGATGTTTGCACAAGAAATTGTGTTGATATGGCTGCTGCTCGTATGTCAAATGTGTGCTCGACACTTTAGCAGTAATTCTCACTTATTAATAAGTCAAAGACAACAGATGTATAAGAAATATGCCACAGGAGGTTCTGCTACTCGAAGGCTCTGAAAATCATGCTTAAATTGTTACATTTAAAGGGATAGTTAAGCTAAAAATGAAAATAAAAATAGCAACAAAAAAAAAGTAATAGATGATATTTTGAAGTATGTTGGTAACCAAACAGTCTTGGTACCCATTGACTTTCATTGTATGGACTTATATATATATTGTTGTTGTAAGGTGATTAAACGGTGAACTATCCCTTTCAGTAGTATGCTTTATATGCTACATCAAATCAAAATGAATTACATTTAGCATGTGCCTTTAACACCTCTCTTCTGATCTCTGACACTCTGAATGCTAACTAGCACTACAGATACACATGCATCATATTACCAGACATACACAGATGTGAGCAGAATCATTAGCACAGTATTAGAATAATACTCTAATGACTATGGCAACAGGTAAGCGCTTTCAGCACTAGGCTACACATGAAGGCTTCAGATGACAAACATGCTTTCTCAGCTGCTTCAGGAATCACTGGCATCTAACATTAATTCTGCATTCATTTAAATTAATTCCTCGCATGTTGTTTCAAACCATGACTTTCTTTTGTGAAGACTTCTTTTAAGCTGCTATCTTCCATACAATGAAAGTGAATGGGAACCAACAAGAAAAAAAAACACCATACTTGTACAGTACATACAACTCATGCCAAGTCTTCATAAGCCTTCGATATATTTTTTTGAGAGGAATAAACTGAGGGATAGTTCACCCAAAAATGAAAAATCATGTCATTAATTACTCACCCTCGTGTTGTTCCAAACCCGTAAGACCTTTGTTCATCATCGAAACACAAATTAAGACATTTTTGATTAAATCCAAGAGCTTTCTGATCCTCCATAGACAGCAATGCAACCGACAGGTTCAAGGCCCAGAAAGGTAGTAAGGACATTGTTAAAATAGTCCATGTGACATCAGTGGTTCAACTGTAGTTTTATGAAGCTGCAAGAATACCTTTTCTCTATTTTATAGATTTTATATAAGGACTATTTCAACAATGTCCTTACTACCTTTCTGGGCCTTGAATGTGTCAATTGTTTTGCTGTCTATGGAGGATCAGAAAGATCGTGGATTTCATCAAAAATATCTTAGTGTTCAGAAGATGAACAGGTCTTACAGGTTTGGAACGACATGAGGGTAAGTAAAGTAAAAAATTATGACAGAATTTTTCATTTTAGGTTGAACAATCCCTTTAAGCTGATATTCAGTGAAAATCTTGCCTGACAGACATGGTCACCATTAACTTTCATTGTATCAAAAAAGGGCAGACTTTTTGATAAAAATCCTTTTGTTTTCCACAATAAATACAAGAAATAAACTAATTTTAGTTACAAAGCCGTGAGGGTGAGTAAATAATGACAGAATGTTCATTTTTTTGGGGAACTGTTTCTTTAAATCTGCAATTTTGGTGCCAGAAGAGCATCTAATCCTATAGGCTCAAAGACTCACTATAATCACTGTTTGTCTTAGTTCATCTGTTGATCCACCTGCGAGGTCTCTCTCACACACACTGTCTGCAAAAATGATCGTATGAGGCTTGTCCCATCTGAGGCTGTCGGGCTCTAACTGAGCCGAGATGTCTGGGTGTCAAACTTATTTCAGAACATATGGCGCTGAAGGGCAGTGTGTTGCCTTGGCAACAGACTATAGATGGACTCATCTGGCGCTTAGCAACAGATGCCATATAAACACCTGGCTGACGGCTCACCTGTGTCGGCAGAATTGAAGTCTTTGAATTCATGTATCTTTTCAACCTTACATAGCTATCAATGTTGCTAAGCAGTGCTGATGTAATGATGCATAAGGTCAGAGGTTACTTGTCTGCATTTTCTCAAGCACAGAAGACACAACTATGGTGCAAACCATTGGAGAAACATCTGTAAAACAGTGTAAGTGGTTTTTATAATTATATTTGGGGTAAAATATTAGGGGTTTTAAAACTCGACGTACCTTTCACTTTAGATCATAATGTGTTGCTGGGTAACACAAATTAAGTTAGTGTTTTAATGTTCGATCATACATACGTTCATCTTCATCTTTCCCAGTTCCACTTTCGACTTCAGACAACCTGAATATAACCTTCACATCCACTGTGTCCTTTCAGAGTAGTGTTTTTGGAGAACGAAAATCAGAGCGTGCGTCGCAAACACGTCAACGGCATACCTTAAATACTCTTGCTCACTCATCTATTATCACACTGATGTATCCGTCACATCAGCTTCCAGTGATTCTCAGTTAGATTTCCAACAGACAGGACAACACAGTCACTCCCTGTTTAGTCCCAGACCTTTCCTTTGATGCAACCCTTCCCCCAGTTCAGTCAGTGGGTTGCCTGCTGCCGCTCTTTTACTGTGGCTGTAGAAACAGTGACCCTATTCCTGATCCACTGGAGGCATGAGGCACCCCAGCACGCCCCCTAGAGCGGACAGCCCTCTGGGCCGTGGTCCTGACAGGCTCCAGGGTGTCCTGCATGGGCCCACAGAGCAGTCAAGTCAGCTGATCTGAAAACACACAGTGGAACATCATGAGGACACATGACTCATTTGTTTAGGGGAAATAATTAGTGCTGCCTGCTCAGGACAATTTCAGTATCGTTTTGGGATTTTGGGGGGGAAGTAAACAAACTCTGAACACTCTGCGACTGGATAACAACATGCTAAAACTGCTCAGAACAACTTAGTAAACACATAGCAACACCTGGGCAAACACACAGAAATCATATTTTCTTAAAAAAAGTGTAAAAAGAAAAACTGCTATTGGGTGTTTCTTCAATTATGAGAGCTTCTGCCACATAATCAGAAAACAGACTTTCTTATTTGTAAGACTGTAAAAATTTTGATGTGTGTATATATACTGTATAATATATATATATATATATATATATATATATGTTTTATATTTTATATTTTATATCGTCTGGCAAACATGTCCATCAGTGCACACTGCTATTTAAAAATTTGTGGATTTGAAAAAAAAAATAATAATAATACTTTTATTCAGCAAACATACATAGAACTGATCAAAAGTAAGACAGTAAATACATTAATAAAATCACAAATGATTTCTATTTCCAAAATCAATACTGTTCTTTTGAAATTGTATTCATTAAGCAATCTTGACACTAAATATATCATGGTTTCCACAAAAATATTAAACGGCACAACTGTTTTCAACATTTATTAATATTAATAATATTAACATTAATAATATTAATAAATTACATTTTAAAATATATTATCATGTATATTTGTATATTTTTTTTAATTTATATTATATATGCATATTTATATTTATCAAATATAAATAATTTATTTTACTTTGTAATTATTTCACAATATTACTGTCGTTACTGTCGTTTTTACCAAATAAATGCAGCCTTGATGAGCAAAATATATTTATTTCAAAAAATTTCACAAACTTTTGAATGGTGGTGTAAAAATTTGTTGTTGTTGTTTTACTGTAAGAATTTTGTATGAATTTTGTAATGAAATCCACGTCTGGAACATAAAAATACCAGAAGTTATTAAAATTAATATAATTATTATAATAAAAATAGTTTGACTGTAGTATTGTGGTTTTATATTTCCATCTAAAAAGGTTACAAATATTTAAGTTAGTTAAACATGCATATTCATGAACTGCTCACCTAAAAAAAACTAATTCTGCATTGTAACGCTGACAGGTGCAGCAACAGTCTAATCCCTGTGTGTCAAGTGACCCTGACTTTTTAAAGCCTGTTCTACAAATAACACATCTGAGATCTGAATTTAACAAACACAGCAACACAATCCAGGTCAGACATATGCTCTGCATTTTAACCCAAAACAAAGTGTCTGCCAGGTCCTAAAATAACAGCCTAGAGCCCTACTCAGGTTAGTTCTACTCCATATTTAGGCCCAACATCGTGAGTGCTGTGGTGCTCTTGGCTCTGCGGCCCCTGATGAAGATTATCTCTAGAGTGACGAAAGACCAGACCGCAAAACCTTGGCGTTTCCATGGCAACAGGGGAGCAACGTTTCATAAAAAGACGTTTCAGGGCCTTGGAAGAGATGTATGAATTAAAAGATAGTGAAACAAGAAGGCGGTTTGTGGGATTCACAGATTCCACAGCTTTGAAATAGTTACAGGATTATATCTTCAGAACTCAAATGAGATGCTTTTCTCTCAGTCGTACCTCAGAGGTCCTGGTTTTGTTCATATGTTGTTCTGCGAGTCCGTTCTGCTGTGACTCTTCGCTGTGCTCCTGTGAGTTCCTGCTGTTCCTCGTCGCTGCCGAACTCTGCGTGTCGTTCTCCCAGCGAGCAAAGCCTTTGCTCTTGGATGCTTTGCGGTGAGGCCTGTATCTCATTTTGGGGAAGGTGTGTGACCCGCTGTCTGCGACGGCCACCCAGCCGTTTTCGGGCCACAGGGGTTCTGTCTGCGTGGCCTGACTGGTGGTGGCTCTCTGGAGCCGCACTGAGATGCGCTGGGCTGAACCAGTCATCAGGGTGATGGACTTTCCCTCCAGGTCAGAGCCTGATGACGACGACACGGCGGGAAATGTAAACACCTCATCGTCATCTGTGCAATAACAGGACAAGAGAATGTTAGCAAAGGGAATATTTCTTCAATATTTTATTATCAGAAAAAAACATTTTTGTCTCGTTTTTTATTAAACATTCTTAAAACAAGATCAATTTACTAAAAAATTGTTTTTAAAGAATATATCTTGATTTATGTTTAAACAATGACTGGCTAATAGTTTTTCCAATAAATTTGTATTTATGATTAAAACTAGAAAAATTCAAATGTTCTCTAAAACAAGTCTCACACAATTTTGCTTCTCAAATAAATTTAGCTTTGTCTGGCAAACATGTCCATCAGTGTACACTACCATTTAAAATTTTGTGAATTGAAAAAATATATATGTATATTAATAATACTTTTATCAGCAAGGATGCATTAAATTGATCAAAATCACTATCACTAAATATTTCTATATCCAAAATCAGTGCTGTTCTTTTGAAATTCTCATCATTAAACAATCTTGACACAAAATATATCATGGTTTCCACAAAAATATTAAACAGCACAACTGTTTTCAACATTGATTAAATTAATTTTCTATAATAGGAATCAATTACAATTTAAAATATATTATCATGTATATAGTATGTATATTTATTTCTATATTTCTCTATATTTATTTTATATATATTTATATATAAAACTAGAAAAATTCAAATGTTCTCTGAAAATAAGTCTCACACAATCTCACATTATTTTGCTTATCAAATAAATTGAGCTTTTTTAAAGGATGTTTAGATATTTTTACTGGAATTTTTTTTTTCAGTGAAACCTTACGAAGATAATTTTTTGTGTGTGAGATTTTTGAATTTACTTTCACATTAGATGATTTTTTTAAATGAATATAGAAAAGACGATACAGCACTTTTTAGTGGTAAGTGCATGTTTGTGTTTGCCTGAGAGAGAGCGACATCACACTCATTTTACACTGTTTTACTCTGAGATAAGCAGATGGTGATGTACTGTAAAGGTGTGTTTTCACCTTTACAGGTGGGCAGGCTGGGGCTGCTGGGCAAAGAGCTGTGTGTGAGCGCTCCAGGAGACACATTGCCCAGCGACGTGGACCGAGGGAGACGACGACACGCCAAAACCAGCAGCTCACGACACTGTTTATGGCAGTTCACACCACAGTCTGAAAACAAACAACAGAGAGTGTGCATTTATCTGGATTTATAAATGACAATAGTATACAATAAAGAAAGTAAAAAAAAAAAAAATGTATTAATCTTTTTAAAAAATATATTACGCACATATGCATGGGACCGATTTATATTATAAAAAAAAAAAAAGATAAACAGGATATCTAACAAGCTACTAATATCAACTAAATAAACAGAAAAAAGAAACTAATAGTGAATTTACAAAATTAGTGCCCTGTTCAAGCATCAACATCTATTGTGATTTGCTCTATTTATTTATTTCTTACCTTTGCACTTGTATCCTTGTTTAATAATTCCCCAGAGCTGAAAACATGGACGACGGGGTGAAGAGGAAGGGCATGAAGAGAACAAAATGGAGCGAGAGAAGCATGAGAGTAATTATGAATTGGGGACAGAAGCAGCAAGTTCATGCCATTTGAGTTTATGGTTTTCTGTACACAGACCCATGAGTAATAAACAGGATACTTCCACACGTTGCACCCTTCCTGTGCAATACAGTGTGACAAGGTGGATCTTTGTGTGTGTGTGTGTGTCTGAAAGTCTGTTTAAAAGAATGTGTGTGTTAACTCAGCGGATTCCTGTCTAACCATCTGTGTAAATACAGAACAATTTGAGCAGTAGTGACTTTGACTAAACACTCACTGTAGTGTATACACTCATTCTATAGTTCATCAGCCCAGAATATTCAGTTCAGTGGCAACAGGAAATGTGTTGCATTTAATAGGAAAGACAACTTCTGTGTGTCTATGGCCGGAGATGTTTTGTATACAATGACCCTCAAAAGTATGTGGACACTTAAAAATGTCTGAATGACATTGCATTATATTATTAATATATATGTTGTTTTCTGTCATGCACTGTATTTAAAAAAAATTCCAGTGTTGTTTTATATTTTGTTAAATAATCCAAAAACATTATTTACTGTATCTCATTGAAATGTTTGGGGTCGGTAATAATTGTTTATATTTTTGAAAGAAGTCTCTTATGCTCATCAAGGCTGCTTTTAATAAAAAATGCAGTTGAAAGAGTAATATTGTGAAATATTATTATAATTTAAAATGTAAAAATGGTAATTTATTCATGTAATTACAAATGCTGAATTTTTAGCAGCCATTACTTCAGTCTTCAGGGTCACATGATCCTTTAGAAATCATTATAATATGCTGCTCAAGAAACATTTCTTATTATCAATGTTAAAACAGTGCACATATTTTTGTAGAAACTGTAATGAATAGAAAGTAAATAAGAACAGCATGTTATTTTCCATTTTGATTCATTTAAAGCATTCTTGCTAAATAAAATTATTACATTTCTTTAAGAAAAATTAAAATGTTACTGACCCCAAACTTTTGAACAGTAGTGTATTTCATTATTTTTAACAGTCAGCCACTTGGCCTGTAATGAGAAGAACAGCAATAAAATTTGTAACTCAACTAGCCAGAAATCTTGGGAGTGAAAAACAGCTAGACACTGTGGTTTTAAGGTTGGATTTAACCTTTAAACACTGTCTGCATTGGTTCAGTGATGTTGTGGTAAACTCAGGTCTTGCTAGGTACGCTTTTTTGCACACACACAGAGCTGAACCCTCAGAAGTCTTCTATTGCACTTTAGTCCTAGAGAGAATCTTTGCTTAAGCGTTGCACAGCAGAAACCACCCAAAATACATTATCAATTGTGCTGACGTGAAAGAAAAGAAGTAAAATCAGCTCTTACAAATCCAGCGCAGTGTTCACAGAATGTTGGCTTCAGGTAAGTCATCTCGTGGAAGTTGTGAATAAAACCAGGCCCCATCTTACACTGCAGCAGCGGGTTGGCACGCAGGAAATATGCCATCATCTCATCCTTACTGATCAATCCATCCCTGCACAAAAAGAGAGATCATCATGATAGCCTCCAGCTCATAAAGCATTTGCTTCCTGTGTCAAAACAGGTACGATATCTGAACAGAATCATAAGTGTGAGCGCAAGAGCTCAGAAGAAATGCATGCAGTCACATGCCAGTAATGCGGTTTGAGCGCTGAATGGCTAAGATGAACCACAGAGGACGGCTGGGGAATTTGTGAGTGTGTGAGAGAGTCTGTGCGTGCCTGATGCTGTGCATCCTTCACCGGGAGTCATGACCTTCAGCCTTTTAACAGTGCAGCAGGTAACCCACACTGAGCAGCTGCATGGCCTGAAGTCACTAATGTTGCATTACACATGATGCATTTTCTCTGATCATTAAAATTAAATACATAAATAAACTTTTATGTGTTCATCTAGTGGTACAGAAAGCCTCAGGCTTAAAAATATGCTGTATTTTCCCAAAACTCAAAAAAAAAAAAACACTGCAATTTAATTCTGTTTAATAATTTATTATTGTTGTTTAAATATTACATCACTGTGTTGTTTAGACGGCATGCCATGCTCTGCTCCAATTGCAGCGATAAACCACACTTACGAGTTTAGCACGGTTGAGAAGAACCCTTTGAGGAATTTCCAGACACTAAATTGACCCTGTCAGAAATGAGATGATGAAAATGTGTCCCTTCCAATATCATCGAGCACTTCTGAATCTATGCCCGGGCTTATAAAGGATCATCGACACAGTCTATGAGCTGCTCTTGCCAAGAAACACTATTAGCAGTTTGGCACTGCAGGGGCCTTTTACAAGAATCACACATTTTGTATGTGTTTTTCCTACTTACTGGTCTTTATCAAGCACGCAGAAGGAATCGAGGAAAGGGAAATTTGCAGCAATACTCTCAAAGTCTTCCTGAGATATGTATCCATCATGGTCATGGTCGTAGTTATGAAAGACAGACTTCACATGCAATGAAAAACAGGAATACACAAGTTTAGTGAATGTGTTGCATTGAGCAAAAGTTCATATATACATATATCTGTTAAATGGCTGGACTGTTATCTGTACGTGGCATAAAAAAGTGCACTGATATAATCTACCATATAATCAAATTCATATGATTAAACCATTCAGGATGTTTGGAGCCACTGAAATAGGCTCGACATAATCAGCCCCTTAGATTCTGGTTTTATAGAACCGCAAAACAATTGGTGGCATTTATATATTTGAAAAAATATGAAAATCATTTCGATTTATATAAAACATGAACTCTAATGTTTTCAATATCATAAATGTCTGTGAGTATTGATGTTGACAGCATCGTACATCCACGACTTTCCTGATGTGTTTGTTGACCACCGAGGGATCTGGTTTGGTGGTGACCCCAGAGGCCCAGTCCAGCGGAGCCAGAGGTTTGTTGGGCGTTGTGGGTGAGGTGGGCTGCAGAAAAAACATGGATGTTATGAAATTAATTCTGTTCTGTGCTAATTTTTTATAAAAGAAAACTTTCCAGCAAAAAATTCCTTGAGAGAGGAAGAAACAGTCTGTTACAGTTACAGTTGTGAACACAATATCAAATGGGTTACAGTATAAGACAGGATAACCTTATGAAATTTTCACTTAAATGACCAAAACATGTTGAATAAGTGGCTATGAGTTTCAAGGTTTGGGGTAGGTATTTTTTCTTTTTAAAAAAGATTGTTCATCAAGGCTGCATTAATTTGATCAAAAATACAATAAAACTGTAATCTTTTTTAAATACAATTTTTATTTCATATTTTAATACTTTTAAAATGTAATTTATTCCTCTGATTTTTTTCAATATTTTCAAGACAAATCTCTTACCTGAGATTTGGGGTTACGGGGTTCTCTAAGAAGGGACAGCTCATAAATTTCATCCTCTGTGTAGTACAGATCCAAGGACAGCTTTACACAAACAGGCATAAAACAAAAAAAAATGTAAAGCCACTCATTTTAATTAATAAATGAAAACCACTGTGATTCAGTGCTGCGGTGAGGCTTTGATTGAATGTGGAGATTGACGAGCACAGACATGCGAGCAGAACTCACAGTGAGCAGGTAGATCAGGTCCATGTTGGGCTCCACCTGAGCCACAGCGCTCTGCAGGGAGACCAGCTCATTAAAGGTGAGATACAGCTGCTGCATCTTCACAATGTTCACTTTCCCATCCTCCACCCAGTCTGGGAAGACCACGTGCACGGCGATCAGGTCCTTCAGGTGAACACCTAGGATTGGGATCTTAAACCCTTCGCTTTCACTGAAGGCTTTGCGGTAAGCACAGTAATTGCATTTTGACGAAACCAGCTCTGTCATTTCATTCCAGATCTGTCAATAGCATAGAAAATGACAGTGAGTGAAATTAATCACCGCACCTCTTTCTTTTATATGTTCTAGATATCACATGTCTGACTACTTGTTTTTTTTTGCTTGTCAGTGCATTTCTCATATACAGGTGTCTGAAATTGTATTCAGACACTTAAATTCAACCTAAATGTATTCATTTGCATTATATAACAAAATTTCAAACCAAGTAACATCTGCGATGTGCGAAACATACTTTTCTAAGCCATTTTTTAAATACTTTTGACTATGATTATGCCTCATACAATGTTTCCTAAAAGTAACATCACATGTACTGCTTCAGCACTGGGAGTTGGCCTCCAATGACAGCTTGATTTTACGGACAAGGGAGTGAATAGTTTCTTAATAATTCTTTTTTTGCAGTGACTGTTGCACCTTGGTGACCTCTGGGCTGAGGTGAGAATGAGTTTCCTTCAAGCGGGAAATAGAACTGTGACTCAGACCCCCGACCACAGCCATCAGCGTGTTAAAGTTCTGCAGGTGGAGCAGTTTCTGAAAGGGACAGAAGAATCATATAGACTGTCAGATAGATAAATAAATGGAATATCTGATAGGATAGACAGACAGACAGACAGACAGACAGATAGATAGATAGATAGATAGATAGATAGATAGATTTGATCCATTAGTTCACATATAATCTAGTGCTTTTCCTTTGCAGCATAATTGCACAAGTGCTGGCTGATCTCATAAAAGCAGAGCTCTCCTTTATTATTGGAGCTCCAGCAACTCGACAGCTCGACACTTAACATCTATTAGCTGACATGGATCATGCCCAGCAGGCCTTAAAACAGATACTAAAAGCACAGGCTTTGTACTAAAGGGATGCCTGGGTGCTCTTCACAATAGAGGCGTTTCATACACCCCCGGTGGCGTGAGAGCAGGCAGGCGGCTCCCTCGCACTCTTTCGCTGGCAGACATTTACATATCAAAGGGCCTGGAAATGTCATCTAGCTGCTTTCAGAATGCACCGACATAAACTGGTTTGCTGGGTGAAGGGTCTCGCATTTGCGTAATCAACGGTACAGTTCGACAGCGTGTCGCTTTAGTGCGCTACTCGGAATGCACGTTTATTTTTCAGAATCCTGGCCTTTTACCAAACTTAGTCTTTCGTAATGAGTAATTCAATCATTTTATGGGCTTCATTACCTTGAAGTTGCATTTCCTGTTCCTTTATTTCTTACCCCTGTATTATTATATATTATATTACATTCTTCAGGATTATTGCAATCCTTTTAGACAAGCTGAAGAAACATTTATGTTCTTACCTGTGCAACATGGATGTATTTGTTGATGACCTCTGCTCTGTGCTGAGGGGTAAGTTTACTGAGAACCATCAGTTGAACCCACTGGGAGATCCCGTTAAACAGAGCGATGGAGCGCTCTAATGTGGGGTTATCTACTAGACAGCCATGAATCACGTAACTCTGGTAATCTGTGAACTGAGGACATAAACAGAGACACATTCATACTAGTTTTAGAAAGTAACAAAGTAGTTCAAACAGTAGTGTCGCTGTTTTCAAAGCAACAAACCTATTTCAGTAACAAACTTTTGAATGATACTTGTGAATAAACATGCTAAATTAAATAGCCAGTCTGAATGTAGCATTGGAAGTGAATCGGTTTAATTCTAGTGAATAGGTTCATTCAGATGGTTACTGTAAATATACAGACTGATTCATTCTGGTAAATCAGTTCGCCCTAAAGTCTCTCATATGCAGCTTCTAAAAAGTCCAGTTTGCAGTTTGACTGGCACACACATTTTAATTTCACCCAAAAATGAAAATTTGCTGTAAATTTACACTCCCTCAGGCCATCCAAGATATAGACGAGTTTTGGCGCTTTTCCACTGCATGGTACGGCACAGTACGGCTCGGTACGGTTCACTTTTTGGGGGTTTTCCACTGGGTACAGTACCTGGTACCTGGTACTTTTTTTAGTACCACCTCGGTTGGGGTTCCAAGTGAACCGTACCGTTACCAAAACGTGACGTGTAAACTCTGCTGATCACGGATTGGCCGGGGAGAATCGTCACCACCTGCGTTACTGAACTTGCGACACAAACACAAAAGAACCGCTAGATTTAAATCAGCACAGCCAGCGAAGGATCGAACGCAACTGTTTGGAACGAGCGCACCTTTTTTTAACAACCAAAAAGTTTTGTTGTCTGTTACGGAAGAACAGACGTTCCTCTCGTTGATAGCAGAGGAGCGGATCCAGCGAGAGCTTGATGGGGCAATGCGGAATGAAAAATGATTTTTTTAGGAGTCGTGGTAGTAGAGGCGGCGCAACTATAACGACATGTGAATAATCCCGCCCACTCTAAAGCGGTACTGAACTGCAGTGGAAACGCAAACCGTGCCGAGCCGAACCGTGCCGTGCCGTACTGAGCCGTGCTGAGCCAAGTCGTACCACGCAGTGGAAAAGCGCCATTAGTTTCTTCATCGGAACAGATTTGGAGAAATTTAGCATTAAAATCACTTGCTCACCAATAGATCCTTTAGAATGTGAGTGCAAACTACCACTACTGAGGGTGAGTACATTTTCACCAAATTTGCATTTTTGGGTGAACTATTCCTTTAAATGTCATGGTTTCTATCACATTACTCTTTCCAAAGCTTAGCACTGATTTAGAAGGGAGGAATGGATAAAGGAAGGATGTTTGTTAACTAAAAAAAATACTTGACTGTTAGCTGTTAAGAATAAGAATGCAGGCCGATGGAAAAAAATCAGCAGAGCTGATAAGTGAACCAAAGTGTGTTCTCATATGCACAGTCCTTTTTTCTTTCTATATCACAAAAACAAACACACACACATACACATACACATTATCTTCACTGACGTAAGTCCACTACAGCTGCCGGCCTTCCCAGGTGAAGGAAACACTCTATTTTTCCATTTCTGCTGTGCACACTAACCGATATCCTCCTGATGGACTTGTACTCTAAGAAGGTGAGGTGTTCGGCCAACTCAATGGGTTCCAGATGATCAAACAGCAGTGACGCTTTACCCTTCTTCACCTGCTTCTTTCGCTGAGTCAGTTTACGCATCCAGTCATATGAGGGGCTGAAAAGACAAACATGTTTTCACTGTTTTATGTTCATTCATAGTGTATCACTACAGAATGCATTAAAAAAAATGTTTTCCAGCCTTTCAGTGTTATTCCGTGTAGTTAGGGGGTTATTCTCCAACAATATAACAATATAAACTCAACATAATATTTAGAAAATAGATCTTACTCTATATAATGTCACACTGCTGTCTCACTAATGTCGCAGCACAATCAAAAATGTAGTTTAGGCTGATTATGACAAGACATCTGCTATAATCTCATAATATAATCATGAAATTATCTCATGAATTATAATGTGCAAAATGTAAGATGACAGTTAGTGTTAGTGACAAAGTCTAAGTGACAGGTGCACAATGCTCTCTGCAATCATTTCCACATAATCTGAATCAGTGATTAAAACACATGCTCATTAGTGTCAAGTTATGCCATAAAATGGCAACATTTGAATTTACAAAGTATTTTCATTTCAATCAAAACGGTGCTCATGATTAAGCCAAATAGGTCAATAGTAATGGCACAGTCAATAATCGGCACGCTGTGAGCAGATACACAACCTTCAGAACCTGAATGAGTGTTTGTGTGTTGTAACACTCACATTGTAGAAATGTCAAGTAGTTTAATGTGCTCGTCACCACCCAGCTGAGCGGCTGCATCTCGAAATTCTTCTGTAAGACGGATCAAACCTAGATCCAGATCAAACTCTGCAGGGAATTCAGCTATCCAGTACCTACACACACACACACACACACAGGTTTTTTAAAAATGGTAAGTTACATTGAACTTTTATTGCTGTGGCTAAACACAAAGTATTTTTTAAAGTGTACAAATGGCTCAGTATTTCAGAGAAAGTTTACATAAATTTATTTTCTGCCCCAGATCATTTACATTTCAACAAAATCCTAAATGGTGTAACTGCAGGCTGATGAATTGCTTGTCCAATCACATTGTATATATCAGTTTCCTCTCAGTTCTGCTCCAGCTGCCATGCTTAATGCTGTTTGTTGTCAGGTAACAGCCTTGAGAAAATGTTCAAACCCATCATCACTGTACTTACTTGTGGGGAACTGTAACCTTGAAGCAGAGTTTGTCTAGACCACAAACGCAAAAGAGAGAAACAGCTCACAACTCTGCAAACATTTGTTTAGTTGGTTTGCTGGTGTGCTAATTAAACTCATCTTACCCTTACAAAAAAGTATTGTGGTTTCACCATGGTACAGTGATGGGACAAGATAATACTTTGAAGCAAGAATTACGATATTTATATGCAGCAAAATAGTGTTTAGATGGAATTTCATGGTATTTTATCGCTGTGGTTTTTAACTGGCATGTTGTAACCGCAAAAAGGTTTGCAGGTCTATTCTGGGTTACAGACAACAAGGGGAAAAAACAGTAACTAAACAGAAAAGCAAAATAATAATAAAAAATAACTAACTGTATAATCCTGCAAAAAATTAGAATACTTTAAATAATTATCTTTTAAAAGCTAGGAGAAAAGTCTTCCTGCTTTTTTACTTTTGTTGTTGAGGTGAAAGGCTGTGCATCCAATGGGCTACAATATTTTGGCAAATGGTCTAACATTTTCAAAACAAAATATTAATGTTTCTTGAGCACAAAATCAGCAAATTTCTGCTTGTAGACAAATTTCTGCAAATACATTTGATTTCTGCAGAATCATGTGACAGAAGACTGGCGTAATGGCTGCTAAAAATTCAGAAATAAATTAGATTATAAAATATATTCAAAAAGAAAACATTTTAAATTGTAATAATATTTCACAATATTACGGTTTATACTGTTTTTACTGCACTGATAAAATAAATCCAGCCCTGGTGAGCATAAAAATATTATTTTGAAAACATTATTAAGTGGGTATAAATAAGTCTAAGATGGTACACGTCCAAAAACATGACATGATTATAAAAAAAACACAAAAAACAAAAAAAAAACAATGGTATTATTATAATACTTCTTGTAGTTCTATCAGACATGCAGAGTTGATTTCCTGTGGACTCCCTGAAAAACAGCAACAAATCTAGCCTGATTGGATGCTTCCAGTAAATATCAAGGCTACATTTTAAATCGAGCAAGGTTGCTTTTCCCACAGCAGGATGCAGTTCTACAAAACACTGACCTCCTTCATTTTGTGATGTTTTTGTTTTGGTGACTCTCACCAAGTCCCTGGAGAAAGGAACGGATGAAGCGTATTTATGTCAGATGCATGCTTTTTATCATTAATTATGTAGATGTTTTTGACTGTCGGACTCACTAAGGGCACTGAGACACAAAAACACATTCTTTTCTTGCTTTTCTGTTTGTTTGTTTTTTGAGACAAACATCAGCTGGAATGTGTGCCCAGTGTGAGTCAGAGTGACATCATGCAGTTAGGAGGTAACAACGCAAGGGTGTTTGTATTGTGTAACTGTGCACATTAGTGAGACCAATGAGAGCAGGGGTCAAAAGGTCATCAGACAACTTTTACACAACACCTCAATATACACTGATAACTGATTAGTTACCCTAACCACAGGTGTGTACACATTGGAAAGTGTGTGTCTTTTTTTTTATATATCAAATCGGATAAAACTAAAATTTTAGATTTTTTAAACTTAATACAATGATTTAAATTGCTAATTACATTGTGTATTAAATGCATTACATATTAACATAATTTGATAGTCAAAACCCATAAATTAACATGCATTTCAAAATGTCTTAGTATTTGTTTTTCCCATTTTGCTTAAATGACAAGCTGTATAAATGCCATAAGTTTGTGTAAAACCCCACGACTGTTCTCTGGCAGAGAGAATTTTGTGCTTTGATGAAAGGAAGAAATCTAATCATCTCTACAAGACTTTGCATGGTCACATGGTCAAATTTACTAGTGATCTAGAAACAGGGCTGAAATCTTAGCTATCCTTACTCCTTTTACATTTCAGTGTCAGATGAATTTTTTAATTCTAAAATGCTGTTTATTTCCAACTGTTTATTTTTATTTTCAACCCCTTACCTTACTGATCACTTGTGGTGTTCCCAGTCAAAACTGACCAACCTACAAAAATCGCTTATAAATTTCTTGCTATGCTACATTATTACCAAATCTTAAAGGGTTAGTTCACCCAAAAATTTAAATTAGCCCATAAATTACTCACCCTGAATTCATCCTAGGTGTATATGACTTTCTTCTTTCAGACGAATCCAGTCGGAGTTATATTAAAAATTGTCTTTGATCTTTCAAGCTCTATCGTTGTACTCAGCGGGTGTTGCAGTGCTTCGGTTCAAATGACGTGAAATAAAAAGCACCCTTCCACAAAAAAAAGTGTCTCACACGGCTCCGGGGGGTGAACAAAGGCCTCCTGTAGCGAATCGATGCATTTTTGTAAGAAAAATATCCATATTCAAAACGTAATAATAACTTGAATCTAGCTTGCGCCAGCAGTTGTACACAGAAGCAGTTCCGGGGGAATGACGTATGAGGTCAGCGTTGCGCATGCGCTGGTGAGTCTCGTGAAAACCAACGTTTGTTTACAGGATCAAAAGAAGCAAAGTTTCCTTACTTTAGCAAAGGAAAACCAGTCTCCTCTTGGCTTATATCGAAATCCTCCGACATTCTTCTTTACAAATCCTCGTTTTGTACTTCTAATAAGTGACCGTTGTTTTGTTTCGATCTCTCCGCGTGCGTCACTTCTGAGCCGCGCATGCGCAAAGCTGACCTCATATGTCATTCCCCCGGAACTGCTTCTGTGTACAACAGTGAGCGCAAGCTAGATTCAAGTGATTATTACGTTTTGAATATGGATATTTTTCTTACAAAAATGCATCGATTCGCTACAGGAGGCCTTTGTTCACCCCCCGGAGCCGTGAGAGACACTGTTTTTTGTGGAAGGGTGCTTTTTATTTCACGTCATTTGAACCGAAGCACTGCAACACCCGCTGAGTACAACGATAGAGCTTGAAAGATCAAAGACAATTTTTAATATAACTCCGACTGGAGTCGTCTGAAAGAAGAAAGTCATATACACCTAGGATGACTTCAGGGTGAGTAATTTATGGGCTAATTTAAATGTTTGGGTGAACTAACCCTTTAAAATCAATCTTTTTTCAATTTATTTTTTATTGTATTAGCACAGGTTTTGTAGTTCTGTTCAGTCTGGAAACTGACTGATTGTAGTCCTCAATGATCTGAGCTTATTAACCTCATTTTCACCTTAGCAATTTTTTGCAGGTTGGTCATTTTTGTCCGGGAACACCACAAGTGTAACAAGGCATGGGAAAAATCCCAAAAAAGTTACAAAAATCATTTGTGAGCAAAGTCAGTAAGTTTTAGTCCAATGTGACTACATTAACAAGCATTTTTGGGTAAAAGAAAACCCTCTCAGGTTCAAAATGATAGAACACAACATGAGTGTTAAAATAAGGCTGGAATAAACTACACGACTTTTGCCCTGATTTCCCCCTGATCTACAGTTGACGCAAGTACCTGAAAGTCAGAGCCAGTCTGCAGATTTGAGTTTACGGATTTCTTAGAAAATCATTTAGTGTATGATAATAACAGTCTGCGATTTTTTTAGCTTCAGACTATGATTCCATCCATTCAGAGGAAAACATGTTTGATATTTTCAGCCGATTTTAGAGCACATATTGTTGACGTGTCTCCTAGTGTGATGAGAAAATGAGATGATGCATCTCAAGGCGTTTATCCCAAAGAATACGTTTCTGTGTGAGTTTGCTGTGATCGGAAGGACTTCAAATTCTGGTAGTGTATGATCCTCAGTCGTTAAGTGTATGATGCCCAGTTTTCCGTTTGTGACTGTTTACAAAATTAAGTGTATGATGTCTAGAATTTTAAAATCTGTTCACATTTTATAAGTCTAGTGGTGTATTCCAGCCTTTGGATTTTAATTCTCAGATCATTATATAGTCTTGTATTTATTCTCAAAACAAATCCTGTGGTTTTGGTGGAGTGATAGATCTGACAACTGGCAGGCAGATGTGAATAGAGAAGAAAGGAAAGGTTGCCTGAGGAGATATACTATGTGAATAATAGATGGATGAATCGCTGAATCATTCTTTGCTGTGCACTAAAACACAAAATGTCCACTGTGGACAAATGTCGATCTGAAGGAGCGATGCCTGTCCTTGTGACATCATCACTCCTCATTCTGAGCGCAGGCGACAGTCACGCAGCCCCCGGAGAAAAAATAGGAAGAACAGAAGGGGAATAAAAAAAAACCGAAAACACTATATAATAGCCTCCTCACGACATGTTCTGTTGTTGCCTAGCAATGCAAATAAACACCTTAAATCATTCAGAAGAGGAAACTCATGGGGAATAAATGGGTTGTTTGTCTTGTTAAACGGAAGCTGTTTTTATTTACCTCATTAAATAGCAGATCTTCAGTCGTGTCCGCTGGCAGTCATCTCCTCGACAGTCACGGTACGTGATAGAGAGTCAAGGAGCATTAAACATGCTGGAGAATGAATGGATGTATATGCACATACAGTATGCAGTGAATGAATGACATTGCCTTACACAACATATTGATTCAAGTGGCATTTATATAAAAGAAGGATAGCAGAAGCACACTTTCAAGTAAAACATTTCACAAAAAGAAGTTTTCGCATTAATGGCTAAGAAACGTACAGTGAATTACAGTGAACAGAAAAGTAGCATAATTTTTTTGGAGATGCCACTTGGTATCTACTGAGATCTAACATCAAACACTGTTAAAAACAGATATCTACTGAAACATCACACACACAAACCACACACTCACTCATACTGGACTGCCACAGGATATATAATCAGAAGTTTCCCAGCGAGCTCGGTGGAGGACACATACCAGCGATGCATCAGCAGAAGGGTTCGGGGAAGCTGATTTTCATGCAGCTCTCCTTCATCATCTATAACAGAAAGAGACAGTCACAGAAAAAGGGAGGAATATTACAAGATCAGATCTAATATAATATAACCATCATATAAATAATTTAAAAATAATCATAACAGGTCACATTTTATTTTAAAATCCAGTTCTCGCTATTAACAAACCATTAACTATGACATTTGCCTCAATTAACTCCTAATTTGTTGCTTATTATTAGTTGGTAAAGTAGTTGTTAAGTTTAGGTACTGGGTAGGATTAGGGATGTAGAATATGGTCATGCAGAAAATGTGCTTTATAAGTACTAATAAACAGTTAAACATGTTAATAATAGGCATGCACCCTATTAGAGCACATATTTAGCACATATAAGCACATATAGCACATATAAGCAACTAGTTAATAGAGAGAATTGGTCCCTATACTAAAGTGTTACCTAATAATATGTTATAAGAAAAAATAGAGCATGAGTAATGGAGAAAGGGAGGGTTACACATTTTTAGTATATTACAGATTGATGAATAGCAGCTCAAAAACATAGATATGATATGAGATACATATGATACATATATGAAAATTTATATAAAGACCTAACGGAGGATATCAGTAAACAATCAATAACATGGGTCAATATCATTGAGCAGTAATTATACTGATCAATAAGAGCAGTAAGACCAGGAATTTTAAGTATGATCATTTATAGTTATTAGCAACTATGATTAAGCAAAACAGAGGTCATTAATCATATGCAATCCATAATGGCATCAACCATGACCAATAACAGTGGTCAATTACTGTGATTATTATAGTCAATTAATGAATTTGAACAAACATAAGATCTAGCAACTGAGCTAGTCTGAGATTGGTGTGTGAATCTGTTAGAAACCTATAAAACATGGATAGCGGCCAAAATGATAGATGTCATTTTAGTGTTCACTCACCAAACGCATGAATGCAGGCTTCCAGCAGTAGCTCCAAAGAAGCAGCTTTCCCCAGCGTAAACGACCCCATGACCTCCCGTCCGACCTGACCTTACTGGGACATCCAGATCTCTGCCATTAGGCAAGCCACCCTCTTTCTCTCTTCTTTTCTCTTCTCTTTTAAATGTGCTCAGTGTGCTCAGCAAAACAATGGTTGACTTGTGCCTCGCTGCAGAAACAAACAAAACAGTGTCAATTAAAAAAAATAAAAAGTTAAAGAAATATTTTATAAAGCCTTTCACATGCTTGCACCGAGGGGCTTTATTGTGAATGAACTGATGAGGCTTTATAATGAATGAACTGATGCTGTTCAGTGTTCAGTAATCACCTCTTGCTCTAAAGTTTGTCAGCCGATCTTCGCCTTTTTCACATTTTTTGATGAATGCAGTACAAAATAGGCCCTGAAACTCTTTTTAAAAAGGAAAGGAAGTGCTTAACCTTCAAGAATGTTCATCATCAACCTCAGGTGGTCAAACTAAATTAGCCATTTCATTTTCCATTCATTTTATATTGAGGCTAGTCATTTTTGTTAAATGTCCAAACCATGGATCTATGCCAGAACTTTGTCTAAATTAGGCTATCACTTAGGAAGAGCTAAATATTTATTATTCATTAAATATTTAATAAATAATAATGTCTTACCGTAACAAAAAATGCAGTCAGTAAAAAATATCAAAATAGATTTAAAATATGAAAATGGATAGATTATGGTCTTCCCATTATGCTCCAAAATGATTTTTTTGTGCTTTTTGCATTAAGAAGGATGTGCATAAAAATAGTTAAATATGACAGTGTTAAGTAATAAAAATTAGTTACATTTTTGGGTAAAGACAAAATTATTTGGTAACACTTTAGAATAGGGAACACATATTCACTATTAACTAAGGGTTTTCCCTGAACAAACTCCTAATTTGCTGCTTATTAATAGTTAGTAAGGTAGCTGTTAAGTTTAGGTATGGGGTTGGGATCTAAAATATGGTCATGCAGAATAAGGCATTAATATGTACTTTATAAGTACTAATAAACAGCCAATATGCTAGTAATAAGCATGCTAATAAGCAACTAATTAATAGCGAGAACTGGTCCTTAAAATAAAGTGTTACCAATTATTTTAACAAAAATCATTTGCATTTCAATTTGACAGATTATGCCTAAATTGCTAGGTTAATTTCATGTTTAAAAATAGTTTATCTAACACATTTAATAAATCCTACAAAAGGCAAGCAAACAAAATAACATGGGATTTGTGCCTCAAATGCTTTAAAAAATAAACTAATGGTATCCATAAAGTGCCTTTTGTATTTCGCCCTAACCCTTCTCTCCAAACCACATCAGCAGACAGATCTGCGTTAAAGCTGAATTGTTTGACTGCTTTATTCTTCTATGAACTCCCTATGACAGCTATCAATATTTCATCTCTCTGGCGGGAGCTCTGTTTGCATGACGCTACATCACACATCACGATTCCACACAGATGGCATGACATCATTCTGGCCCACTGAGCTGGACGTACACTACCTGATTAGAGCTTACATAAGATAATAGTGTCTTAACTCATTAACACTTATGAACGTCGTGGAGGATAACTAACTAGCCCTTCAAACTGCCACTAAATCTTGCTCCTCTTGTGTTGCTTTGTTTTATTTCTGTCTTACGCTGTGACGTGTACATCAGTTTTCCGGATGACGTGTGTTTTTTCCTGAATCCTTTATCTATGTAATCAAAACGGGCAGGGTAAGTGTGTGTTCCTGTGCACAAATAGCTAATAGATTAATTTTAGATTTGGGTTTATTTTTATTGCAGTGAAGATCAGAAAAAATGCAATCTGAAGGATCAACAACAAATTATCCTTCAAAAATCTAAATACAAACACTGGAAATCAAATCTAGCCATAACAACAACAGCAAATGTACACAGAGGTTAAGCAGCTGCTTGCGATGGAGAAGGCTCAGATTAATCTTGTGGGACCTTCAGTCGGCATCCTGGTCTTTGAAGTAAAACAGTCCCTGTGTGAAGTCATGTGTGAGATACAAGGGCAAACGAGGTACCTGAGCTACTGTCAATAACTCAGTTCGGAATTCACTGCCATTGTCTTGGAGACGCCCTCTCATGATGTCATAAATGACCCCAGCAAGTGAGGTGATGAAAGAATCTATGTGGGACATGCAAAATAACTGCAAAACCATCAGACATTTCCATCCTGATCCCTGAATAGATAGAGATAGGGAATAGATCCCTGACCACAGAGATGAAGGGACCAGTGCCGTGGTTATAAATATCTCAGTCTAATTTTCACCCCTCTCATCTGTGAGTTTGAGTGCTGACGGCTGGAACCTGTCCTGACTCGCCTCATCCAGACCAGCACACACAGAGACATCAGTTACACAACCGTCACATGAAGCCAAATATATTAGATATTTATGACTCAAGCGCTATAAAATCCTGCATGATCTAAAATGCAGTGTGATATTAGTTAATGATGATTTAAGATTCATCACTATTAAACAATATCAGCAAAATTTAGTTCTAAATTTCATAAATTAAGAAATTACACTCTTAAATGTTCGACTAGCTGCATTACTGTGTTCCTGTGAGAAAATGCATGTCAAATCTTTCTCATACCCTTCTTTAGTTGCCAACCCGACTCAATATTTCAAAAGATTTTTCCCTGCTGAATTATTTCTTATATTTCTGTGAAATGCTTTTATAAATAGATTTTGACCATGTTAGAAATGTTTTTTTTTTTTTCTTTGTAACAGTGTTAAACAAACCAGCTTCCTTCAGTTCTGACAGCATAGAGAAGGCATATACAAAATTGATGTCTTTTTGTCCATGCACTACTGTCCAAAAGTTATGAGTTAGTAACAGTAAAGATATTTATATTAAAAAAGATCTTCGTTTCCACAAAAATATCAAGCAGAAAACTGCTTTTAACAGTAAATAATACAAATAAGAAGATATTAAAAATAAGAAGAAAAAGAAATCTTGAGCACTAAATCAGCCAATTAGAATGCTTTTGAAAGGACTGGAGTAATGGATGCTAAAAAATTCAGTTTAAGTATATATTTAAAATTCTAATAATATTTCACAATATCATCATGTTTTTTGATCAAATGCAGTTTGCAATATTACTGACCACAATCATTTTAGGGGTAGTGTATATGCTAGTACACTTCTAAAATCACAAATATATGCATTTAAAATGTACAGTCTTTCTCTTTCTAGAAAATGGTGACTCATCCTGCACTACAGAGATTGTTATCCAATCAAATGCTCTCTAGAATGAGAATGCCCTGCCCTCGAATACCATCTGCCTCTTACTAGCTTGTAACAAATTATGCTTATAACCATGACTGAACTACTTTTTTTAAAGGGGGAAAAACACCCTATATGCCTCACACAAATGTCTAATTTCAAAAGGAAACACATCAACACAGGAAAGAATACTGCGCTCATCAAGCTATTTAATACTGCCTTTAAATGTGAGGTTAGAACAGCAGGAGTGCTACTTTTAATAGCACAAAACTGGAATAAACTGCCTCAGACAAGACCTAAATACCATTTAATATTCTCATAAATGCAAGAGCGCCAAAGAAGCTCTCGAAAATCAGAGCAAAACAGAGAGCGAGAGAATTACTCATTGAGAAAACGCAAGGACTCAGAACTTGAATGTGATGATGTCAATAGCATAAAGAGTGAGCACAGATCGAAGATGCTTTTCATAAATCTCACGCAAGAGCCAAAGACTCACATTTCCCTCATTCACTTACCCTAAATCTTCACACTGAGGACAGCGGTGTAAATCTGGAGGGTCAAGTGTAACTTCCAAAAGTGTCTGTGGTTTGAGGACAGGAGAACTCCTCTCTAGCAGAACAGACTGCGATCAGCTGACTGACACTATCCCACTGTCCTCCACGCCTGTTTATAAACACCAACGCACATCAGACGGCCATATGACAGATCATCACAGCCAATCAGGGTGACAGAAGGGCTCAGAACACGAACAGGGGACAAGATGAATACAAATGGGAGAGAGAGAGTGAAGAGGACATGTGAGAATCAAGCTAGAAGAGACATAAAATGAATAATAATAAAGTGAAAAAGAGACTAAGAAAATGAAAAACAAAAAAGATACAGTCATAGAACTTTCGTGTTACAGCACTGGGACAAGTTGGATATTTCTTATTGGCACTACACTATAGACAAAAGCACTTCAAGCGAGAAAAATAATAAATATGATGTGAAATAAGGCAGGACAAGCAGGACAGATGCAGCAGATGTCTGTGTGTCTGGCAGCGAGAGAGGAACAGCTGCCCTCTACATCTGTGTGGTGTGCGTGTAGTGAGATGAAATCACTGGGTTCTCAGCGAACTGGACTGCTGCTGTTCAAAACCCAGAGTCCTCCTGCTGACCCCCAAGAAAGGTCACAGAAGTCAAGCATATCAGCATTTCTTTATGACTTAAGACTGATGCAGGCCATTTCACCTGCAGTTATTTCAGTGCAGGTACTTCATTTCAAACAGCATTCATTTCTACTGTATTTTTTTTGTCGATTTTACCATTTATCTTTCTAGAAAAATGACAAATGTCACAGAGAGAAAATTCCAAAAGTCTTTCCCAATTTCCTGACAATCATAGCTTACATGTGCATTAGTCAATATGTTGTATGGCTGTGGATTTTCAGGAAAATTCATTGTGAATTTCAGTTATTTCAGAGTTTGCAACCTTTTAGTGATATAATGCTGCTTTGTGTTTGCAAAACCAGTTTTGTTTTTTTTTGTTTTTTTTTTGCAGTTTTTAAAAAAATGCAGTCTACAAAATCAGTAAGAGTGTTATATTTTAAGAGAAGTCTCTTATACACACCAAGGCTACATTTCTTTAATTAAAAATTCAGAGAAAAAAGTAAGGTGAAATATTATTATGAATTAAATGTTATTACAGTGCTCCATATTTTACTATATCTTAAAATGTAATTTATTCCTGTGATGGCGAGGGAAAATGGTTACATGATCCTTCAGAAATTATTCTAATATGCTGATTTGTTGCTTGAGTAACATTTCTTATTTTCTTCAGATTTTTGAATGGCAGAGTACATTATGAAAATTAAAGAAAAATATTTATGGTCTATGTCTGGCTTGCTGCCTGTTATTAGGTGAGCACTGGTTTAAAGGAAAAAATGTAGCTGAACTCGAAACCACAGTCATGTTCCCTCCTCCTCAATCTGTATATTTCCTCCTCATTATTTTGAACTGCTTTAAAATGTAAGTTTTGAACGACCTTGTTGTGGGCTGATTATCAAGTTTAATTCACAAGTACAGTGCCCTGACCTACACTAAACTACAGTAAGAAAATACACGAGTTTCACAATTTGAGTTGAATTACTGAAATAAATGAACTTTTCCATGACATTCTAATTTATTGAGATGCACCTGTATCTCTCTTCGTAGACAGCAACTGTGATGAGGACCGTGTCACAACATTCACACAGAGCTTCCACTGCTAATACAGACAAGAAAAAAATGAGCATGCATGGATGACCGCACGCACACAAGAACATTCACACATGCAGACAGAAAGCTCTCATGCACATAAACACAAAGACACAAACCCATCTTGCTTCCTTGAACCATTCACACAATGCCAGAGACCTGCAATCAGTAAATGAGTTACCTCCCCACAACCTCATTATCAAACAGTCATCTAAAGCTTCAGCCCACAGAGACAACAGCCGATTATCTCTGTCAGTCGCTCTATAAAGCCTGATTTACTACAGATGAACCGAGCAAACACAAAACACAACACCACCAGCAGTTCTAAATTAGATCAGGGCCCCAACCTGTGTACTTTTTGAGATTTACATCTTTCAGTCAAATTAGGAACCATGAATCATCCTGTCAGTACATCAATAATAGGATTTCGTCTAGAACTAGCAACTTGACTTCCCAAACTACAAGCTACTCATAAAGTAGTTAAATGGACAGTTCGCACAAAGTTGATAATTTTGCCATCATTTATTCACCATCATGTTGTTCTAAACCCGAATGACCTGGAACACAAGAAGGTTTTTTTTTTTTAAAGAATGTCAGTAACTGAACAGTTTTGGTTACCATTGACTGCAACCACAGCAGTATTTATCTGGCAAAAAATAGTGTGGATGTCATGTCAACTGTAACTGTGTAAAAAAAAAAAAAAATCACAAAATATTTTGCTACACAAAAGATGTAGCATGCTGCACAAGGACTTCCTGTGCAGGGAAATAAATCAGTGAATTATTTGAAGTTGTACATTTACAACTGTTTGAACAAACCAATTCAATAAAATGAACTGGACTTTTCAAAGCGGTATTCTACACAATAGATACAAGATATAGCGTGCTTGATTTTTGCCTACAGCTTGTACCGTTTCAATTTGATAATTAAACAGTGATGCAGCATAACAGTGATCATGCTCCAATGCTACTTTTTGGAAAAAGTAGCTTGTTACTGGAAAATCAAGAACTTTATTTTTATATCTATGCTATGCATCTGGAAGATGTTTTTATCTAAAGCGACATTGCATTCAATGGTATAATTAATCTGAAACCAAACATAACCATGAACTTGTGCAGTGCTCCACTGTTTGAGCTACATGAACCTGCAAATAAAATATTTTGAAACCAGTGTATCCACTTTCACGCTACTGAAAAAGGTAGTATCACTGCTGCTTTTAGTCAGGTACTCTCCAACACTGAAGGGTACAGCGTCCGTGCAACTGAAAAAGGAACAACACTTTGACAACTTTGGGTAACGTTTCTCTCTAAAACAGAGCTGCTAACATCCTGCCACACACTGCAAAGGGACCGAGCAGGAACTACAGTCTGTGTGAAATTGCCATATAGAAAAGGCTAAAACAAAGTAATTATCTAGAGGAACAAAAGATGTGTATAATTCATAAAGCAGTGGCTGTCGCTTGTTCCTCACACTGAGCTGAAACTTCCCCAACACCATGCATTTTTAAAGAGTCATGCTAATGCTAACCTACTTAAAAGTTACATCTTAACTTGACAGGTCTGTTGTTCATTCTGACATCTAGACCAAGAGTTGAAACTAGACGATGATCTTACTTGATGAGGACCTGGACAAGCTCAGATATTTCATGACACATTTGAAAAGCGCAAAAATGATAACTCACTCTAAAGTCTGGGATGCATCTGGCCTGAGAGCAACTGGTTTACCTCACGATCAGAAATCTAGATGAAAGAGAGGAATCTGTTACTGAATATATAGCTTTTGGCAATTGCAACACATGGCAGATGGGTTATTGAATACAGTTTTACAGTTTCATTTAAAGGAACTGTCCAACCAAAAATGAAAATTGTATCAGCATTTATTCACTGAAAATCTTAATGAAGATGCATAAATTATGGCAAACACTTTTTTTTTCTAACCCAGGGTTTAGAAACTGGGGTCCAGGGACCCCATTGAGGGTCGCAATGGATAATTTGAAAGGAAATAAATAAATGTTTTAAAACGTAGTTTTAAGGTTCTCAAAGTTTACTGGAAAACATCTTTGGAACAATAGTTATTATTTAAAAAAACACTACAAAAATGCATTTCAATTCAATTCAATTCTAGTTTATTTGTATAGCGCTTTTCACGATACAAATCGTTGCAAAGCAGCTTTACAGGAAATTAAGTTTCTACAATATATTTAGTAGTAGTATTTGTAGTAATAGTAGTAGTATTTGAATTGAATTGAAAATGCTACTCTGTGGTTTACACATCTAATATTATAGCGTGCTGATAAAAGACACACTTGATAAAAAAAAATTTCAGCTAATATTTAATACATTTATTTTGGCTTCAAATACAGTAACAATATAAAATCCATTAAGTTATAATAATAAGTTATATAATAAGTCATGCTTTTTCGATTTTTTTTAATTGTTATATTTAACATTATTAAACTATTAAAATGTTTAACATTATATATGCAGAGAGAAAGGAGAAGTGAATGGTTTCTGTAATAATGAGACAGTGAATATTATGACTTAGATCTCTGGACCCCAACATTGTGAAATTCAGCAAGAAGGCTTGTGAACACCATGTGGCACTAGTGAATGTGAGAAATATTCATTCTCGTTCTCTCTCTCTCTCTTTCTCCCACAGTTCACTGATGCAGATGAAGGGATTGTTTGTCTAAAAGGCGAATGGACTTCCTTCTATTCTGGCCTTTTTCCTGTCTGTGTAGCAGGCGTCCCTGTGCCAGGCTAAAAATACTCCAAAACACACCGTAAACTGAAGCCCGGCACACAGGAACCACGTCACAATACACACGCAGGACGGGTGGCGGTGACCACCAATCTGTCCTTTTGTGTGTGCAAAAGGGGGTGTGAGGGAAAGAAAAAGATCATGAGCGAAAGACAATAGTCAGGAGTGTTAGCATTACTGTCTTTTTCTTTCTCCTCACCACTGCGGGTTAAATAAAGGCAGGTTGCTTTTTTTCCAGTCAGTGGCTTTTGAACAGGATGTCATAGACACACAGTGGATCTGCGTCACGTGATTTCCGCCTCCCCCAAAATAATCAAGCCAGAGTAACTATAGCTTCAATAAACAGCATGACCTTGATCTGCTCTCAAATGAGAGCGACAAAACAATTGCAAATACATCAAACTCTCAGCCCGAACAACAGCGAGGGACATTAACGGCATGTTCAAACAATGGACAACCCCAATTCTCAACTCTCTCTTTTGTTTCAAAGGCCCTCTATTCAAATGAGTGCCAGATATATTTAATATGACTACCATGTATAGAAACTCAGAGCCTATTTTTCCAGCTTCCATTCTTTGAGGGGACGAGCCTCTCTGGTTACCATAGTGAGGAGAATTTATTCACAGACAACAGGACTTCCCACCCAGCAGGGTGTCATTCAACTGCCGATATTTACGAGCAGGGATTACTCACAGTTAGGATCACCCACCCTCATGCCCCCCAAGTATACCCTGTGAAAGCTTGCATTTTCCCATCTATCTGTTTGGCCTGTTTTAGTGGGTCTGGTTGAGGTACGAGCTCTTCAATCTGTCTGTGGTTTGTATACGCAAGAGTACGGGGTGAAGACAGGTTTCAGAACGGAAGAGCTTTGCACAAGTAATGGCTTGGTAACACTAAACATGCAACAGCTGAATTTAACTCCAGTTTCAGGTGAGTCTCGCAGAACCACTGAATGATCAAAGCTCTTACTTCAGGACTGCAATACAGTGAGATATATCTATAATTCTCACCTGTTCAGGACAGGGGTGTGTCATTGAAAATGACATTTTGGTGAAGAACTCCTTCTCATCTAATGCACAAATACTATATAGGCACTTGCAATCCATTCCAGAGAAGTATTATAGTGGCATTTGATGGAGCTTTGACATATACCATGGTACTGAATGTACTTTCCATATTCATGTACCAGATTATTTATATGGCACTTAAAAAATCTGTCCAACACAAATAACAATAATTAACTTGTCTTTAATGTCTTAATTGTTTCTCACAGACATCAAAAGAGATCAAATGGACAGCAAACTGAGTATCTTCTCAGATTTTTCTGTAAAGAGGCATGTCAAATTACTGGAAGTTTAGAAAAGATCTCAACAATGTTGCATACTGCACTCAGATCTTCCAAGTTACTTAAGTTTGCAATTAAAAGATTCTGATATGAACCACACATTTCTCATCGCATTCTTTGAAAACCACAAGATTTGGGCTTTGATAACATAAATCACATACATTTTAGCACTCGATACTCTTACTGTATATCAACTAATTTGTTTGTTTTTTCTAAAGGATATTTTAGCAGAAACATTTATGAATCACATCTGATAACTTCATTAGGTATCTTATTATTACTGCTATGAAAGAGCAACCTGGTACATTTGAAGGCAGACATATTGGTACTTTTTTGTTAGTAATCAATTTAATCTCTGAGCATTTTTAAACTAAGGCTGATGATACACGGGGCAACTTTTTGAGCAATGTTGCCGGGAAACTTTGGTTAATGTTGCCATCAATGGGCAACCGGGTGAGACACAGGGCCCAAAGTATCCAGATAGAAATTTGTTACCCATTCTCAGTGGGAAAGTGCCCAAGAAACAATGTTCAAAAAACGTTGCCTGGCAAAATTGCTCAAAAAGTTGCCCTGTGTATCATCAGCCTAACTGTATTACAGCATAAATTCCAATATTTTAGTGAACACAGCACTGATTTCACATCATAATATGTGAACAGTTCAGTGAATCATAATTAAATGACGAAGTAGGCCATAGCAACATTGAAGGACACTTGTCCTTCCTCTATCTGTTTTTTTCTCTAAACGCGTATGTGCATTGTGTGTGTGTGTGTGTGTGACACTAGCAGCTGTTTTTCTGTCCTCCTTCCTGTTCATTCAAAAGGGATACAGACCATCTTGTTTCGTCTCATCGAGTCTAAAAAAGAACCAGCTAAACACAAACAATGAGCACATATCCTGCTCCGCCAACCCAGTTTGTTTCACACTCTGACAGTGTTTGTTTTAAACAGCTACGTGAACATTAGCATTGGGCTATTGTTACTGATGTGTGCTGTGTCAGTAGACAAGAACAAAGCGTATGAAACCTCTTCATAAAGTACTGACATTCCATCACCCTTCTGAAAAAGCTGTTTCAGAATAATAAATGTGAAAAGACTGATTAATATTTATATTTAAGTGCACTCTTTCACTAATTGTTATGTGGCTGAGGTTTGTGTCACATGAAATGCTGTGGATGATTTGAGGTCATATCTTTGATGAAACCATGACTCCCTTGTCTAAGAATCCAGTTTACCAAACATTTACTTGGATTTTGCAGAAACGTTCTTAGAAATTCCTTGAAACGTATAACTGAAATGTCGAACTGCTTAGAGCCGGATTGTTTTGTTGTTCAGTAATCATGACTAACACATTTATCCAGGCGTCACACTTACAAAACACTTCCATGTAACTTTAGTCAAATACTATGAAAGTCTTGGGTAATATTACAAATTGTAAAGACCTGATAAACACTTTACTTGTGTCTTTTCGTGGAGGTAGATTTTGTGGCTCTCATGAAAGCTGTAGCTAATGTGTGACTGAGTGAATTCATGCATGCTGTCTGAATATGAGGAAATGTTACAGGTGTACTTTATATACATATAACCCTGCATTAAGCTTGCACTGAATGACACAAGCAGTAACTTTTGACTGAATCGATGACAGTTGAAACAGAGGACAGGTCACAGAAGCTACTGAAAGACTGATCCAGGATCAGGGATCAAACATTTCTGATGTGAGGTCAACAGGGCAGGAAAGACTTCTGATGGGAGTTAAGTGCTTTTTGCTGTAATTCACTGCCATCTGGTTCAACTGCAGAAAGTGTGTGAATTTCTGTACCTGATTTATAGTTAGAAAGAGGAAGACTAGAGTGGAAGTTTGAGGAAATTAAAATTAACACTATTTCCTCATATTGTTGAACAATTCATTGGTGCATGTAATTTCAAAGAAAAAATAGTTTGTCTTCACCATCACTACCTTTAATCAAAATATAATAACTTCATTTTATAATGAAACAATTTTCCTTTTTCTGCTGAAATCACATAGGTTGTGTGGTAATTGGAACATTTTAACCAATAGCCAAACTGCAATTTATGCAAAATTGTAGCAAACTTGAATACGCTCTAGCTTCATTCCACTTGTACCCATCATATAAATTCCTTAAGGATAGAATCAAGTCATTACACTTTTTTTCTTGTGAAAAAGAAGAAATGTCAAATTACTGAAATAAAATGGGTTGCAGATGGCAATTCATGCATACTTTAAAGAAGTACAATAGTTAACAGATTTTGATAAATTTAGCATTACATCACTTGCTTACCAATGGATCTTCTGCAGTGAATGGGTGCCGTCAGAATGACAGTCCAAAAAGCTGATAAAAGCATGAATCATTGTCATAAATTAACATTTTGTAGAGTGGAAAGCTGCGTGTTTGTAATAAACAAATCCATCAAGACTTCAAACCATTGCTTACTTCTAAAATACGAGTCCCTTATCCAAAATACTGCTTTCTCCTCTGAATAAGTTGTCTTGCCTGAATCAGGAGAGAAATATGCACAGATCAAGTATCGTTTAAAAGCGAAAAGATTTCTAAACAAACATATCAGTGGATTTTGATGTGAGAGGACAACAGGGATGGACTTTTTCACTGGAGAAAGAGTTATAATGGGGTATGGACAGAAGCGACAGTTTACAGTGAAAACACCTTTGCTTCATACAAACTTTACAAGACGTTAATTGATGGACTTTACTACTACTTTACATCTACTGTTGGTTTGTTTTTAACAGCTACTTGGGCTCTCATTCTGACGGCACCCATTCACTGCAGAGGATCTGGTTCATTGGTGAACAAATGATGCACTGCTAAATTTCTTAAAAATGGACTTACGTACACATGTATTGACCATGTCAGCAAAGAAAAACTTTGTGAACATACTTTCGCAAGGCTAGTTACAGAATCACCCTGATATGGACATAAGATAGACTTGCAAGCACATACGCAGCAGGGCGCAAAAACACATTGACACGCTTGCTCTATAAATAGTCTGCCATTTTACTGGCTCACAACCGTACTGCAAATAACACCGATAAGAGAAAGATGGTTTAGAAATAGAAACAGCAGGTAAAAAGGCACAATGAAAAAAAATCAAATGAGACAGCATATGAGGGAGAGTATGTAGTGGAGTGAGACAGTGAGGAAGAACCATCCATGTTACAGACACTTGCCTACACTTGCCGTCATAGACTCTGTGTAACAGCAGAAACAACAGCTCTGTGAATGAGTGTGTGTGTTCAGCAGATACATGAGTGCTAATGTGTTAACAGAGCTTAAATATTACTGTCCGCTGATCCCACCCACAGATTATCAGCACACTGAGCAAAGAGATGAAAAAGAACAGAGAAGGTTATTATTTACACCTTGATTACCAAGCCAACTAAATGCTGACTTCTATTGTTTGTATAGGAAGTTTAATAACTATATGTTAATTATAATCCTAAAAAAAAAACATTATTTACTATTTTTATCAATGTTAAAAATAATGATTTACTTCATCATTTAGACCTTTGAGTACCTTATTTGACAAACATAGTCATTGATTCAAAGAGAGAAGCTGTTGTACAACAGTAATTCAACATCCTGTAATTCAAATTCAGATGTTCACGTGTGCATTTATGACTAATTACTGCACAGGAATACATACAAGAACTATTTAGAGACACTGGACTTCTGGCCAGCTCTAAATAAGGTCCTTACAAGCCACAGGTTAATGCTGCAGTATACATGACCTCTTCTCAGCTATTTGCTTTATGGAAAACTTTATGAAACGATGATGAATAACTCTGATTTTTCCATTAATGCATTAACTTGAAACACAGACATGGTTAATAAAACCAGTGAGAGTGAGCTGCTGAGATAAACTGAAAGAGAGAAAGCATGCATGCATGTGTTGGAAAGAAAGAGTCAGTGTGTATCCATGTGTTCGAGTGGGATTCAGAGAGAACGTAGATGTCCTTGGGCCACGATCGTCCCTGAGACTTATGAACAAAAATGGAAACTACAACAACATTTGCAATGCAACATCTGAGCAGACTGCAATGTGAACTGACTAAAATCAGCATTATGTCACCCTAGAGCTTTGCAGGAAATTGTGTGTATGCTAATACACACACATCAATAAATGTAAATAAATATGTGTTAAGGACCTACACTCTTACAGACGTGTTAATATAAGTTAATTATTACTACAGACTAACCCAAATTGTAACTCTAAAAGAAATTATATTATTAATTAATCCATATATATATGGATCACTCTGCTGTGGCAACCCCTGATAAGAAAGGAAGCAAGCCAAAGGTTTTATATATATATATATATATATATATATATATATATATATATATATAGACACACACACTCATGCACACATAAAATTAATCAACAATATTAATGATTTTTTTACATCACTTATATAAATGTCTGTCTTTACATAAATAATAAAAATATTCAAAAATAATATATATTGCATATTTAACTATGTATAACTATGTATATAAAATTAATATAACAGATTTTGTTTTTTACTGTATTTACTTTATGATATATATAATTTATAGAATAAAAAATAAAAATATATAACCTTATCACCAAAACTTTTGTCTCAAACATATCGCTAACAAATTTAAAAGAATATATGCACAAAATCACACCTGCATACAATACGCACACTCTCTGCACAACATGATGGTCACTGACCAGCCCTGTGATCATCTGGACTGACAAATAAATATCCATGTTTCCCGAACTGGCTCCGATTATCACACAAACACACAGCAACACGACACAGCACAACAGACAACAAAACATGATACACCACCAGAAAAGTTTGTGACCTTGGAATTCCTCTGTCAAATCTCTCTGGCTGCAACATGTTTGCGTTGAGAGTGTAAAGTGGCCTTCTGTACTCTTCAGATGATCACAGTAACACCATCTGACTACAGACTACACACATTTGGATTGTGCAGTGTGTGAACTGCACGATCAAACCAAACTAATGTCCAACACGCCACGGTTTATCATTAGTTTGTGTATAACCACTGAACCACTGGCTTTAAAAAGGAGTGACAGTCTGTTATGTGATCAAATGAAAGAGATCTTACCTGCCTGTGCAGATCACTGGAGCTCTTTTGACTCAGCATATGTGTGAATCATGCAGCGTATCTCTCTGCAAGTTCATGCCTCCCTTAACAAGAAAGAAAGAAAGAAAGAAAGTACTGCATGTCAGATGCACCCAGATCAAAGCGCAGCAACAACAGTGTGGTGTGCAAGAGCCAAGCATGTGATACTGACCCCACACAGATGCATGCTGCCTCTCTCCTCCCTTTGCTTTCTCTGGCCCTCCCCCTTCACTTCCACTCCTCTTTCACTCAGTCCCACCCCTCACTTCCATTTGCTCTGTCTCTTTTCGCTCCATCAATCAATCATTCTGTACCTTTCTTCCCCCTCCACCTCTCTCTCTCTATCACACACACACACACACAGTTCCAGTACATACATTTGACAATAACAAGCAGAAAGTAAAGGCATCCTTGCTGGATTGCCCTTGAGCTAGTCTTGACAAATAATCTTTAGTGAGAAGTAGGCTACTGTATAGTAATGGTATTAGATTATGACAGCATGGTTATTTAATGAATATATTTATATATACTATATAAGTACTATACTCATATACCATGGTATTATGTACAAAATTAATAAATGGTTTATCTCAGCTCGCCTGTTTTGTTAGATGATTTCTAGTTGCCCTGTCAGGTCAGTTCACTAGCTGACTTGGTTTTGTGTGCTTTGAAAAAATATTTACAGGAAAACTGAATAAAGAAATGCAAATAAAGCACACAAATCTTAAATATTATATAATAAATATAAAATATTCTTAAGACATGCAAATAGATCAGTGTACATTAAATATTGATTTCATGATCAATTACAATGTATAAAACTATCGACATAGGAACAAGACCAACACAGTGACAATACTACAGTAATATAAAAGTCAAAGTATGTAACGTTTTCGGTGGGAAAATACTCTTATTGCAGATTAATATGCAGAGACAACAAGCAAGCCATTCAAAGTTTATTTTTCCGAAAACTATCAACATGTCTCTGCTACTATGAAAGTTTCACCAATTGTTTTGAGCTACCTCCTGACAACATTTACTTGACCAATGGCGTGGGCTCTGGGCGTGGCTATCTGTTTGTTCGACCAATGGCTGACGGGGCATATTTGTGGCAATTATGTTTATATTTTCAGTCCCGTTCACCCCAAAATTAAAATTCATTAATTACTCAACCTCATGTCGTTCCAAACCCGTAAGACCCACAAGAACACAAATTAACTTTTTGATCAAATCTGAGAGCTTTCTGACCCTAGACAGCAACACAACTGAAATTGTTATTTTTGTTTTCTTTGCACACAAAAAGTATTCTCGTAACTTCGCAAAATTGAAGTTGAGCCACTGATGGCACATGGAATGTTTTACCGATGTAATTGCTACGTTTCTGAGGGTGTATTCACACCTGTCTTGTTTGGTTCGATTGAATCGAACTCAAGTTCGTTTCCCTCTTGGTGTGGACCTTTTTGGCAGGTGTGAATACAGCAATCGCACTCGGGTGCGGACCAAACAACTGTCCGGACCGGACCAAAGCAAGTGAACTAGCGAACTTTCCTGGTGTGAATACACCTGAGACTGGGAACATTTAAGTTGTGTTGCTCTCTATGCTGGGTCAGAGAGCTCTTAGCGTTCATCAAAAATATCTTAATTTGTGTTCTGAAGATGAACGGTATTACGGGCTTGGAGCGACATGAGGGTGAGTAATTAATGAAATAATTAAAATTTCTGGGTGAACCCTTTAAGTTTTAAAAGTTCCCTGAAGTAGTTTTAATACAATCCGCAGTGTGATACAATCCGCGGTATGAAAGTACTGTCCTTCACTTACCCGGATGAACGGTCTTCGATACGTTGTCATAGACTGCGGGAAATATTAAGAAATATCAGCAGACCTGTGGATGACGCGATTTACCAACCTGAATGCAGTATTCCAGAGAACTGTACAATAATAAGTCTTTACAGCCCTTTTGATATCAAAGCTATTAGTTAAGTTTGTGCCATTGGTTTCTCATTGAGAAACAATTGATGTGAATCATAAATCACCTGACTTCTCAACACAAGATCATGGCTCAAGATAAACAGGTGAGACAAAGGACATGATTTCTATGGAACCATTGTGGGAACAGAACAATTTACTGTAAATCTACTTATAAACTATTATTTTCTATTATTTAAGGTGATGTAACGTTCTATGGTGTGTCAGATTCCATCAATTGTATTTAACATTGTTTATTCTTTTCTGTCTGCGACAGACAACCCTTTTTTGGTCACAACCCAGTTAAGAAGCACCGATATTTAATGTAGACAACACAGCATAGATAAATGGGTATAAACATCACCATCTCTGATTTATTTCAAGACTTTTAATACATTATATGGATATTCAGAAGATATTTATTCATGTACAAATTACAAATAGATAGTTTTTAATCAACTCTTCAGTTTAAATGTCCGAGAGAAAAAAAATCAGAAAGAGAGTGAAAAAAAATCCCACAGCTGTTTAATAGCAGCTTTGCAACCTGGCAAGACATTTCGCCATCAAATGCAGTAAAAGATTTCTGTTAAAAAACATCTGAAAAAACACAAAGGCACTTCATTTTTAGTATGTTCTTTTCAAAGAAACATAATTTCTAGAAGAAATGTGAGGTTAAAGGTCATGCCTGCTCCACAGGGCAGACATCTGCAGTGGACTAATGTCCCAGACACAGAAAATTAGCTGGTGTCTGTCATTAATACAAAGCAGCTCATATAAAAAGCTTATTTTAAAGACTTGACACTGAAAACATTTTGTGTTGTGTATGTTTCCTATGAATCTATGTACTGAAGGTTTGTGTGTTTGTGGTGTGGTCTGCCTCGCTAAGACCTTAATAAAAAAATGGGAAATATGAACAGAAAAGAAAAGGAAGAGATAAAGAAAAATCAGCCAATAAATGAATTCAAATCAGAAAGAAGGGAAAATACACTAAATAAAATCAAAAGAAGAGTTAAAAGAAAAGAAAATCGGAAGAAGATAGTCTGGCTTTTGCATCAGTAAAATATCCACACGCTCTGTCTTTGACTGGGTTAAAATAAAGCAGTCCCCCAGCTTAAGGTCATAGGGTTTGTCCGTTTGCTGAAATATCACCTCTTCTATGTTCACACCTAAAAAATCTTTCTACGTCCTAATACAGTAAAAATAATAAACTTACATAGACCAATAAAACAAATATTTTATACAGTTCTCTCATAGACGCCATAAGATAGCACATTAAACTCTTCATCTCAAGTAGGACTTTTTTTATAGGTTCGATTTTGGGTTTTTGTTTTATACAGTGCAGAGTATATGGGCCTTGATTAAATAAGAGTGTTTTTAGTGTATCTTGCGCCCCCTGCTGGTCACTCCGTGCTCGTGCTGGTTGCATTCTGTCTTTGGGGCACACAGTAGTTGTTGTGCAGGGCAGAGTTGACAAATCCTGGCAGACACACACACTTATATGAGCCTTGCGTGTTGATGCATTTGCCGTTCTTGCAAAGAGACATCTTTGTATTCAGCTCCGAGCATTCATTGATATCTGGAACAC